TTAATATATTTATCATTTTGTCCCCCAACTTTCCAAATTTAAAATATAGTATATAAAATAAATAAACTTTAGTATATGAAAATTTTCGGAACTTTACAATTTTCCAATTTTACATGTATAAAGAATAATGTTACTTATATATAATAGAGTTATATACCATTTACCTAAAGATGAGATGTCAAAAACAGAATGAAGATTTTTATTTTTTATTATTATTTGGTTGAAGAAATTTTAATCCAATTATATCTCATCACATATATGTATATAAATCATTATATACATGTAGCACAATAAAAAAAATCATTTTCAAAAAATTCGCATTGAATTTAACTTTAAAGGACATTAGGAACTTATAAATATTAGTGACATAATTGGTATATAATACTAGATTAGATAAAGGGTAATTATATTATCACTACAAAATTTTTTTGTTACACCACGGTTTTTATTTCTTGCACTACATTTTAATGGCACTTAAAGTTTTTCATTTTTGCTCATTATAGTACTACGTCACTAACAAATTTTCATATCATTTTTATCCCCAAACTTTCCATTGGTTAACACATTTTATATTTAATAATAGTTTTATGTCTAAAAGCCCGTTGTAATAATGTAAAACAACTTATTTTTCATCACATTTATTAAAAAATAAATAAATAAAAAGTGTGAAAAACATTTTTCCTTCATTTCAAAGCTTGAAACATAATATTTTTGATATAAATTATGATTAAGATGAGACATACTAATTAATTAAATGTCGAAGATAAAAATTCAATTAAAAAAAATTAAAAAAATAATTGCTACAATATGTGTGTGTGTGTGTGTGTGTGTTTGTTTTGAACTATTTTTCTTTTTATTTCTGTTTCCACAAACCACGTTAAACTTGTCTTCATTTTTTATCCATGTGGTCGATGGTGAAACTTTTTTTTTCCTTCATCACCGGTGGTATTTTATTTGCCCTCGCGAAACTTCTTCTTTTTCGGTTTTTTTTAATGATCGGATAAATGAAAATTTTCAATAATCAAAATTCATTTACAAATACATCGGGCATACCCGAACAAGCAAAGATCAAGTAACAAATATTTGTGCACCGGATATACCGAGTAGATAAAATAAAATAATGTACAATGATGGTTTAAGGGTCCACTGCTAAAGACTCAAATTAAATCAAAATATACGAATACAAAGTAACTTTGTATACTTGTGTTTTAATCCGTCTTACAATAAAATCAACTTGCGGCTTGAGACCTTGAAAAATATTCATATTCATTGCCATCCAAATATAGTACACGGTAGTTGCAAGTGCTATACGTTTTAACTTTACTTTGCCAACTCTTTCCCCGCCTTCTTCTTTCATCCACTTTAATGAGCTCAACAGAGTAGACATGTTATACCTTATAGCCAACCAACCACGGATTTACTCCCAAACATTGTTGCTAACCGGACATGAAAAGAACAAATGTTGTGCAGTTTCCCACGTTAACCCACAAAAAAGAGCCAGTTTCGATCCAATTTAATATAATGCAATATGTCCTTCGTTTGTAATTTGGCCTGAACTCCTAACCAAAGCACGAAAGCATACTTTGGAGTGATGGAACTGTCCCGAACAGAGGCTACCCAGGCTGCCTTAGTACCTTTTGGCCTGAAAAACTTGTAGGCAACCATGGTGCTAAATCTGCCAGCTTCAGCCCAGCCAAATAACCTGTCCACACCAGCCTGCACTTCCCGTTTTGGCCCAATAATGCTGTCTTTAATTTCCAACAGCTTTTTGAGCAATGGAGAATCATCTTTCTTCACCTTGTACTCCCTATTGTCCATACCTCGAATATGTACTTGATTTATCCATTTAGTCCAAAGAGTATCCTTCTTGCTATAGATGTTCGAAGGTGTTTTCGAGAGGAGTGCAACATTCCAGCTTTTAATGTTTCTAAAGCCCGCCTTCATGCTTTGGCAAACAAATTTGGTTCTAAGCAACCAACGATTTTTTGGATCCCCATAGGAAGCTTTGGCATAGACTAATGATTTTAGAAACCACCGTTGCCAGAAAGGGAAAGATGGATAATCAAAAACATTTCGCTCCTTGTAGAACGACTCTCACAAATTCCGCTCTCCCCGCATATGATGATGAAGAAGTCAACCATGCACCAATATAGGAAGAAATTTTATTCATGAAGGGATCATATGAACTCACTTTCAATTTTTTCGCCGCAAGTGGGATTCCCAAATAGCGTTAATGCAAGGATATCCTCCAATTCTTCACCATGAACTCCTACGGTGTACAAAAAAGATTTGCCAACATTTATATTGAGACTCGACATGGCACCAAAAATTTGATAGGCAATTCATCAAGATATCGACCGACATCACATCCCCTTTAGCAAAAAGTATTAAATCATCCACAAATGCGGAGCATGTAAATAAAATAAAACTCTAAAGTCCTTATGATTTAATCTCATATAAAGCTATTATAACTTACTAGAAAACTTAAATACTCTTATTAATAAATGATTTTTTTATTTATTATTATATTTTTTTGGGTGTGCGAGGCTACATTAAACTTTAAAGAAAAGCCTCTACATGCTTTTGAGACGACAAACATTTAGTTCTATGCCTTTGCAAGGAACTCGTGCCGAAACTCTTACCCAAAGCATTGGATTTTTACAGTAATTACAAACCACTCTTATTTCCTTCTTTCCAACCATATACTTCTTTCAATGAAAAACTATCCGACACCTCTTATGTGTGACGAGTCTTTTTTGTTCTTCCAGAACTTGCTCCCAAATATGGGGCACTGCCATCTTCTAAATTACGAGGAGTTGAACTGTCGTGTAACTTCACCTCGTTGGAATCAGAAATAGAATTACGATCTGGAGAAGTAGAATTCATTTGTTATAATGACAATTAATCTAGAAAAGATTACTTATCTAAAACTTAAAAATCTATTTTAAGCGAAGGTAAAAAAAAAAAAAAACTGGAAACTATAGTACACAAAATTGAGTGTGCGAGAACTTAAAGAGTATGGAAATTGAGTAGTAGAAACAAAGTATGAGACACTAAAAATTGTGTAAAAATGTAGGAAAAAAAACTTATTTTTATAGGCAGAATAATTCGATTTTTGAAAAACTAAATATAATATAATTAGAAGTATTTTGCCAAGTGTACAGGTAAATGGTTCACATAATTTTTACAGGGAGACACTGTCTCCCTGTGAAAATTCTGTGAACAAATTCTTGTAAGTATAGCATTATTCTAATCAAAAACAGAAAGAAAAAGAGGCCCCTGTGACTGTCTCCCTGTGAAAATTCTGTGAACAAATCCTTGTAAGTGTAACATTATTCTAATAAAAAACAGAAAGAAAAAGAGCCATTAGGCTCTTCCTCAATTACAATTATTTGTTTTTTTCGTTTTTAGGATCTTATTTTATATTTTGGAAAAAATCAGTTGTTTGGAAAATTATACCATATATTCTTTAACCCAATTTCAGTTTTTAGGCCCCCTTTGATTTTGCATTTCAGTTTTGAATTTTGAATTCATTTTCAATTTTCAAGAGTCCGGTCTAAATTGCAGAAAATGCATTTTTTTTTTTAATTCAAGAAAATTGATTATCAAAACAGAAACTGAAAAATACGAAAGCCATCAAGGAATCAAGTAGAAAGTTCAGTCTTTTTAGGGGTGTGGACGAGTTCTTAGAAAGAAAGAAGCCCCAAGGTTTGAACTACACTCGGGGTTTTGAAGCTGGGATCTTGAAACAACTGGAAGTTCCCGAGTCTTTTTTCATCCAGTTTGGTAAATCAATGGTTAAAATGGAAGCCTAAGTAGATGCAGTCATTCTGGTTTCGACAAGGGAACTTACAGGTCTTACTAAAATGCAACTATTAGTCGTAGAAACTGGTAAAGCCAGCACTCTCTTCTCTTTAGCACAAGGGTGCTAGTAATCCAGGTATGAAGAACTCTGGAGGTGACTGTAATGAGTAGAAGAGTCACTCATGCTAGTATGTTTTTCTAGAAATGAGTTGAGGCTTAGCACATCTAGAGAAGAAAACATCCTTCCTGCAAGTTTCTCTTTGTGAACAAATAAATTGCATTACTGCAGAAAGGTTCCTTCACATTTGATGGCTGGAGGTGATGTATACAACTCAAGCATGCAATATTAGATAAGTTATTTGACATGAAATTAAGCAAGTGGCTCCGATTTTCCCCTAAGTTCAAATAAATCAAATTAAGTACAGTGTTATTCACGCAAAAGTTAATTATTCCAAAAGAACCTACGAAGTATAATTGATAAAATTCCAAAAGATTCAACAATGTTCATGTAGTGGCTAAGAATTTATCTTTGATGGATTTTGATTGTCAAATTAACAGTGTACTGGGGTGCTTGAGTTCACAATGTTCTTGACCGAATCCTTTGTTCAATGGACCCATTAATGCACCTGGACCGGACGGTTCCCAGATCGGCCGTTCGGTCCAATTTTAATAACTATGGTTAGGAGTGTTGACTTGGCTAGAGAAGCTAGTTAAATATCCCCAGAGAAAAATCTGACTGAATGCTTCTGCAGAGACTTTCGTGTAATCTGCCTGTCTTCAGGGTGTCATCTTCCTCGGGTGTTGATAGGTTATGTGGGCTATTATCTGATAAGATTATAGCGTGATGTTCAATCTTCATCGGAGATCTTGAACTCTTATGATCATAAATAATGGATACTTACAATTTTGTCCAATTTTGTCCAAGAAACAAAGACTATGGGTGCCCCGAAGTTAAGGAGTATCTATTTATGGCTTCTCTCGGTCTGCCTCACCACATTTATCTGTGGCCTGTCTTCAACCAAGCATACTGTTTAAATTTTTGCGTTCAATTTTTTTTTTTTGGATGTGGGCCATATTTTGAAAACACGCTAAAGGATACCAGTTGAAGTTTGCAATCATGATGCATAACTTGCCTAAATCCAAAAAAGATGTCATCTAATAATCAACTGCAAAACTTATAACTCCCTACAAAAAAATAAAAATAAAAATACGACTTAATCACTAGAACATAAGCTATAATGTCAATCATCAGCAGTTTAAGGTGTTAAAGATTCTCAACGATCAACAATATAAAACCACAAATTCCAAGTAGCTTATCAGTTATCACCATTTAGAACGACAAATTTCAATAAAATAGCTCTATTCAGCCGATTTCATCTGAGAAATTGTTCAATTCAAAGTAACACCAACCTAGAAACTCGTGATCGACAAATCAATTTGATTAATTTTGCATGCTTCCTTCAACGAGGAAATGCGGAATTTGACTCACTTCATCTTGGCCTCGGTGAAGAGGACATGGCGATTAACACGAGGGTCGTATTTTCGAAACTCGAGTTTTATCTGACTGCTTTGAAGCCTCTTGGTCTTCTTCACCACGTAGAAGAATCCTGTCCCAGCGGCCGAAACAAGCCTCACCAACATTGCACCAGCCTTCTTCTTCTCACCCATTTCTTACTTTCAAGGACAAACTAAAACAAGGAAATTGGAAAAAGAAATTCAGCTTTTCATCAATTCAAATTGATGAATTATTATGAGCTTCGATGTATCTTATATACCGTAAAATCAATCGGAAAAAAATCAGCTTCACATTCAAACAGATGAATTCACATATGCTTGAATACAGTATAATCAATTTACCATCAACTGGGGGGAAAAAGGATTAAGCTTTCCACATTCGAATAATGAATTGGCATACGCTTTTTATGCCATAAAATCACTCCGAAATGAAATCTACAACACCATCCCCACCACCCCCTCCTCCCCCACCCCCACAAAAATAAATAAATAATATTTATAAAAAAAGGGAAAAAAAAATAAAATTCTATCATTTGAGAAAGCTGCTAAATGAAAATTCTCAGTAGAAGCAATAACAGAAAAAATGGTAACGAGAGATTCTCTCTGACGAACAATATCAACCATTTGTACACATACATATCACACGTAATACATGTACGGTTGTATAAAAAGAGAAATAGACTGGAAGAAATGAGGAGACAGTTACCTGCGGGAATGGCAATAGAATCCCACCGCCCACCGGAGAGAGAAAGAGAGAGTACAATCGAGTAATCTGGTTAGGGTTTTTCCGTATCTGAAAATTCCGGTTTTGCTGTTTAGACCCGGGTGTAAATGTCTTGGCATTATAGGGGCAAATTCCACAAGGGGCTTTGGTTTCTTTCATAAAAGTCCAGTCATTTAAAATCGATTGTATTACAAATTGATTTACAAATACATGATATAATGAAATATGATTGGAACAAAATCTCTTCAAGCAAATAAAAGAAAAAAAAATCACTTTCTTTATGACACTTTTTCAATTTATAAAATTTTCTGTAACTCCTTGTACACAACTAGCTTTATTCTTAAAAAAATAAAGTGGAGTAATTTTAGGTAGAAAGTTAAACATTTTTCAGTAAAATAGTATTATTAAGAATAATAATAAGTCATCTCTTGAATACAAGAAATCGTGAATAAACTTCTTGATGATGGAATTTGGAGACAACCAATTAGGGATGGTCATAATAAAATTTACAAGTCATTTATAGACGTAATTGAAGGCAAAGACTAAAGAGTCTGTGAGATTCTGTTATAAAACAAGTTTATTAATCAGATTGTTTCAATCATTGACTTGAATTCATCATTTTCAGTTTTATTTATTTATTTATTTTTACCTTAGAAATTTATCTGGACTTGCAGGTAGTTAGTAGGCTTGTGCTCTTCTCTCCGCCTTGATTCGACGGAGCCTTATTCAATTGTTGTGAACATAATTCACCTGAATCTCCATTGTTTTTTTATAGAGAGACGGAACTATGATCGTCCTAGATGAAAATCTTAAAAGGTCCTTTTGAAACTTTAGCAGCAAGCATTTCCATTTTGCACTTTTAAATTTGGGGAAGAAAATAAAGTTTTAAATGTTTGAAATTGTAGATGGTACATATGAAAGTTTTGGTACAATTTGTAAAAAAATAAAAAGTTTAGGACCACACCTACAATTATTCTTTTTTTAATTTGGGCATTTTTTAACCTTTTTAACACTTAAACTAATGGAATTGGATGGCAGGGAAGTGGAGTGTATCGTGCTTTAAAGTTTATACGGAAGAATTTTTTTTGCCAATTTGAAAAAGTGGAGGGGCATTTGACAATAAGTCCATTCGTCGAACTCTTTAATTAAAAGGCAATGTTGCCTTTTTAAAGATGGTCAAATTATGGTCAGAGGCTTGATTTTTGGTCAATTGACGGTTTTTACACGAAACCGTCCAAGGGTCCTTCTACCGCACATTTTTTAAATTGTGAGACATATCAACTATGATTTAGAAATTTGGAACTAATGAACAGTTTGGGACCTCCGATGCAAATTTCTCTAAAAATAAGAAAAATATATGAAAGTCAACACAAAAGATCGTGCAACAAATCAAGTGACCCCTCTCTCTATAGAACAATCAGTGAGAGTGGAAGCGCTTGAATCAATGGCGTCTGTAACGGCGAGGCTTGCATTCCGCTTAGTGGTGGTGATTCTGATGCTGCTGACGCTGTACTACGTTGGCCGCCCGCTCTACTGGAAAATCTCTGCCACCATTCATGACATCCGCAAGAACAAACAAACCGTCTCTGGAGGTCCATCTTTTATTAACTTAATTCACATCTATTAATATATGTATACGTATTCGTGGATGTATTGATATGTATATTTACGTATATCGTGAATTTCGCTCCTTGTTTGCAGTGGGTTTGAGTTTAAATAATTTGTCGCCTCCTCAGAAGAGATTATTTCTGTTTCCTTTTTTTTATTAATTTCAATTGGAAATTTGGAAATTATGCTCACTGACACGTTAATACACCTTTTTATTAATTATTATATGTGTTCCCTGAATTTTTATATGGATTCATTGCAATTGTTGTGGTTTTTTGTTTTCAAAAAATATGAGTGAAATTGAAAAATTCATTTTCATTTTCTTCAATTACGTATATTCATTCATTATTTTCTATTTGATTTCATCAAAGGTACATGTGATACACTTAAATTTTCACCTGTATTTAGTGGATACATATTGTGTTCTATTTTTTGTTATGGTTTAACTGAGGTATGTGAGTTTTTCATGTTATTTTGTATAGAACTAAGCTAGTCGTAAGACCATGTTTTACAACTTGGTTGACAATGTATGTGTTGGAAAGATCCTTGCCATTGATTTCAAAAACAGTTTTTCAAATGAATGAATATGATGCCTGCCAACTCACATGATTGTCCACCAAGTTGTCAACTAAATTCTATTTGGTTTCCTCAAAGCTACATGGGATAGAGTTAATCCTTCACCTGTATTTAGTGGATTTGAGTGTTATTTTATTTTTTTAATTTCAATTTTTTCACTCCTAAAAGAGTAGAATCTTCATTCACGCATTTTTTAAAAGCAGGGATTTCACAAATTTTGCTAGAAGCTCAGAATTCAGTGGGTTGGTTCCATGACGAATCTGATCCAGGCTTGCATTATGAAAAGAAATCTGCTACTGCAAGGAGGTTTCTTCTTGGTCAGGTTTTGTGAACGCGAAGGATTGTTGTCTATTTTTATCATTTTCATCTTATCCACAAAAGTATTGTTCAACATGGTATATGTCATAAAGTTGGTATAGATCTGGTCGAATGAAAACATGATGTAACAATAAAATTGAATGGCTGACTGTTGAACTGCTCGAGTATTTGGGCTGATGCTATTCATACAGATATTTTGATACTGATAAAATGAAGAGTCGAAGCTAATGGTAAAACTATGTCTGCGGCATATACTGTTTGTGCAAAATGCTGAAAAGAACTTCAAGAAGTGTTTAATAGTGGTTTCCTGATTAGTTATCCAGCTTGTCGATAACAAATTTGGAACTATTTATTGGGTGGAGTGGAATGAAATAAATCATCTTTGGTCGAGAGTTCAATCAATTTGGCTTTTTGAATCTATAAAAATACTCTAATAAGATCCTTGTTAATAAGAAGGTTTTTAGTACTATTATTTTCCACTAGCAAATGCCATTGAGGTCTTAAGATAAAATTATAAAGAAGTAGGGAAAAGAGTTGTGGTTTTTTGGGAGGAAACGTGTTCAGCATTGATTCGCCTTTGTGCTTAGATAACCTGAAAATCCCATGTCATATAAAAGTATGTAAAAAACCTTATAGTAAACGTCGGTGATATTGAAAAAGAGGTAAAGTATACTCACGATGTTATGGTCCATGCTGTATATGGCATGATAGTGGTGGTTGGTGAGAATTTTGGATTGATTTGGTGTTTATTGGACTAAAGATTTCAGATTTTTATGCAAACATTTTATGAAGCAAAATTTTTAGGGACTATAGGATTGAATGCTCATGTCATTAGCAACCCGGTTATCTGAATTACATTCTTTTGAAATGAAACTATGAGTTGTCATTTCCTCACATCATGGAAAATACCACTTCTTCATTCTGTTGTGCGGTTGGATTTGAGGACCTCATTGTGCTTTCTGTTCCTTTCCGTTTTAATTCTTGCTCATACATATTTTCCTGCAACCATTTAAGTCTATGCTAGCCATGTTTTATGGTGAATGTTCCTTGGAAAAAATCTAGGGTAGCACCATTCCTTGCATTGTTAGCCAGCTATGGAAATCATAATTCTTGGCTTCTCCTTTGTTAGACTTGAATAGAATTGAGGCACGATACTTGAAGGAATAAGAGAACTTGGATGCGAAAGTTGTACTTTCAGACTTCTAATATATAGTACAGGTACAAGATGATGTATAAGTTCTCGGCAGCAGATTATTAGATAGTGAATTTATACTGTTATTAACCCTTTAAATTGGAGTGAATAAGTACTTACTGGCAATAGTATTATCAAATTCATGCTCTTACTTTCATAGACTTTTTTTTGTAACTCTCATTGTTGATGATGGAACAATTAAGAATTTACAACATATTAGTAGATTAATAGATCGCTTTGGAAGGACATTGCTTATTCTCTTTCTACTATAGGCATTATTTGGATGCACGCAGATTCTGTAATTTTACATGTGGCAACAATGATAACTTTAGATATTCACATGTTTTAGATATTTAGCATTTCTTTGATAATATTATAATTTTTATTAATGGTTGTTTCTGTATTTCCGGGACCAAGGAACAATTAGATTTGTTCCTTGGTCATAGCTAGAAATTGAAGGACATTTTGATGAATTTATTCTCAAAAATATTTATTTTCTCTTTGGTTAGGATAATTCGTCTACTGGGATTTTCCCTGCATTCAACCCCAACATCTTTCTTTGAAATAGTTTTTCAGGGGAAAGGGAAATTGACTGAAATTGCAGTAAAAGAGCCAGCTTTGTGGCATTGTTTGAGACTTTCGACTATACTATTTGGAATTTTGAAGGAATGCTAAATTCATCGTCTTTGATCATATTTTCCACCAAAAAAATATATTAGTAGAGTATAAAAATGCTTATGGTCCATTATATTGTTAGATAGACTAAAAGAAAAATAACGAACATAAAAGTTCGATAAAATACTGTTCTTCATTTCAAAGCACGTAACAAAAAAATTGGACAAAAAACCACCATAGTCCATAAAATAAAACTAATTAACTGAAGGTGAAGAATAATAATGTGATGAAAAAGTAAAGGATATAAATGCGAAAATGAGTAAAAATTGGAGACTTTAATTGTGATTAAAATGTGCTATAGTTGTAATGTGAATATTATTGTCCTTATTTATTTTTCTCTTTTTTTCAAGTGTATATATCAATTTTCCTTTGGGGATATTAAGCCCCTGTTTATTTCTCATTCTTTTCTCAGTAAAATGAAAAATATAATTGTTATCAATCATATCAAACCACCAAATTTAAATTTCTATCTCTTATGTGGGGTTCATAACGACTATATTTTTCATTTTCATTTTTACAAAAATGAAAAACAAACTTTCTCTAAATATTAATTTTCGAAAAATTGGAATGGGCCTTTCTCCCATTAAAAGATCTAAATGTACATAAACAAGCTTAGGAAAAAATAAAATCATGCTACATTTGCATCTTCCTTTACATCATTTTTTACCCTCCATCGCATAGTAACACACCATTGGACAGTTTTAAAAAAATAACAATTTTCCCTCCGATCATTTTTTAAAAACACATCAATTAAATCTTGCACTTTTGTAGGGAAAATATACTACGCACGCAAATCAGTTGAAAATTGTCACCTTGATTGACGCAAACATTGATTAAAATCCAATGCTCCATTAACGTAACCATGAAGGTCAAATCTCAACGTGTAATTAGCCTTTTTTTAACCTAAAAAAATAATTTGAATAATGTTACTTGTATTTAAGGAATTACATAAAATGTTAATGATAAACGAGGTGCCAAAAAGATAGTGAATTTTTTTATTATTCTTATTATTTGATTGAAGAAAAGTTGATTTGGATTATGTTATACATACATCAGGGTGTTCATAACGAATAAAATATAATTTATCTTAAGTGAATCTCCCGTAAACACCATTATGGACACCACATTATCTACAAGTAGCATATTCCTTTTGATTTAGTCATATCTCACTAAATCATGTGTTTATAAATCAATTTGTAAGTAATGATATACATAAAGAACAAAAAAATAAAAATAATAAATATTAGCTTATCACTATTTCCCTGACACTTAGTCAACAAGAATTAAAGTTTTCTTGCTTAAGAGCCAAAATAGTCACAATTGATTCCATTTTACATCTTCATGCGGGATTACGAAACCCCAAGAACCCTCTCACTCCTTAGGCAAATCCCCATGAACAGCATCTAATCCTAATTTGATACAGATAGGGAGGGAGCCAGAGAAACTTGGATTACATTATTAGATAATCATAATGCATTATTAACACTAAAACTTTCCAAGTCCAGAACTAGATCCAGCATATTAGTTTCATAAAAGTTGATACAGAGCAGAATCTCAGAACTAGCTAAAGGTACCTTAAGCTTAACAAAGTAATTTCCAAAAAAAAAAAGAAAAAAATCAGAAAAGTTTCTCCATATGTTTCCCATGCCTTTGCATTCATTAGAGAGGCTTCAGAGCATCCATTCCACCAAGTTAGTTGATCCACCAGCTGCCACAATCTGTTTCTCCAACTGTTATATAAAGAATTCGTGTTAGGACAGGAACACTACCATTACACAAAGCAAACAATTTTATTTACTGTTGAAATCTTGTTGTTCAAGATCTTGGATGGATGAATTAAAAGAGGAAATTAAAGGCCATGATGGTCGCATAGGCCTTTTAGGCATACGGTCAGATAGACCCTTGCAAAGATATCAAAGGCAGCCAAGGTTAAAACTATGCGACCGCATAGTTATAAATTTCGACCGTTGGCTGGATTTTTTTGAATTTTCTGGTGGTTTTATTAATGAAACATTGCACCTCTTTGCTTTGAGTTGAAACCACTTCGTATGGGATGTTTGAAAATTTATAAATACTTCTTGTGTTCATCCCAAAACACATGATATTACATTATTCATCCAACTTTGAGAGAAATTGTCTTTATACATAATCAAATTCCTCCTTTTTCACTTGTTCATTTTTGAAGCCCACTTTTGCTTTTGTTATTCTTCATTAAGATTTAAGACTTGTTTAATCTTACAAACTATTTGCCATTTTCAATCCTTAAAAGCAAAACGAGAGAAGGCAAGTATCGTTTGAGGACGACAATATATTCTTCGTGTTCAAACATTTGCCGGATTTCACGATCATCATTTTCTTCTACTATTTTTTCTCCATTGCTGTAATATTTTTATTTTTATAACATTTAGCTCGCACTGTTTATTTACCATTTGTTCTTTTCGATATATGAATAGAATTAAATTCCAAACAATTCAACAGAAGTTACCATATCGATTCAGAATTATGAAAAAAGTCCCTGGACTCACCTGAAATAGATCTTCAAGCTTGTTCTTGATTAGCAGATACTCTTGTTTAACTTGTTGCAAGCATCTCAAGCACCTATGTCATTACAGAACACTCCTCATTAAACTCAAAAGGTTCAAAATCTAAGTGCAGACAAGTCCTCATTATACTCATCTAATTTTCTTATAATACTTAATTCGGGGAAATTCTTACCCTTCAGTATTTTGCCCTTCGCAGGAATTGCGAAAAGAAATGCAAGAGTTTTTTACCCTCTGAGCACCAATGCTGTTATACCACAAACAACAGTTAATATAACATAAAACTGTAATATCAATACCAGTTTTGCTTCTTTTTCGACGTCTTTTGGCAATTAAAATTTGTCATGAAACGCAAAAGTTTTACCAGTAACGAGTCCAGACACATAAATTGACTCGTTACTATTTTTACACAATTTAGTAACAATATCAAGCATTTATACCTAAAATAATTATAAGGATCAAACTTGAGGTGCTAATAAGTAGGTTCTGATTCTAAAAAGTTTTCTCTTGTCTGCTTGTATTTCTTTAAACCAAGAAATTCATGATACCTGGAGCTGCTTCCTTTCAGCTGATGAACATGAGCATCAATCTTTTTGAAATCCACATTCGGCTCATCCCTGGAAGAAGACACATATAATGACCCCAATAATAAAACCGGGCAATCCGCTCCATCTAAAGCTTATTTGACTTGTTAGGCTTCAAGATTTATGTTACCAAACGAGTATTCGTAGATGTTTTTGCCCCATATTTCACAAAAAATTGATTTCCACAATAGTAATTTTTTGTAGAACAAAAATTTTGAATTTACCTGCAAATTATTTTATTGATAGAATGTATATTCAAAAATAAATTTTAAAAGGAATGAATTTTTGGATAATGGGTCTCAAACATGAGCTTAATCTTTTTTGTGTTCAATTTTAAGATAGAATGGCACGCCTTAGCATCCTTATACTTAAAAATAAATACAATACAGGGAGAGAAACTCACAGAGCTCTGGAAAGATCATTGATAAGCCTTTCAGAATCGTCAAAGAAGAGAGACACGACTTCAACAACAAATTTTGGGTTGCTCTCATCTTGAAGTTGGTACAGCTGAGTAAACTGACTATCCAAGAATCCCTACAAAACAAAATCCACAAATCAAAACTCCAAATAAACACGTAAAAACTAAATAAAAGCAACAGCATATATTCAAATTCAAGAAAATTTATCTTTTCCCCATTATTTTACCTCACGATATAAAGCCGCAGTGTATTCAAGAAAAGTCCTCTGCAACTGATTTACCTCCATGATTCGTCTTATGGGCTTGCTTGGAAACACAAAATTATAAAGGAAGACAAGTTGGGATTGACAGATCTTGGGGAATCAGACACTATGAATGGTTAAACAGAGAATTTGATAATTTTGTGTTGGCAGGGTGGAGAGAGGAAGATCAAAATTTGTCCACAGTACAATATTAGAGTCTACTCTTTCCTTTTTGCTTAGGTTTTCCTTCTCTAGAATTGTGCAGTTTGTTTTGTTTTATCACACATATTACAGACCTTGAAAAGATTTTGATATTCTGTGGCATCATTTCAAGAGCCGTTCCATTAGGCCCCCTAGTGGTATTGTCTTTCCAATATCTCTCCTTAGGGATGGTGAGGGGTGGGTCGGAGCAGTTATTTTCGTTCCTTATCTGGTTGAGTATTTTTGTCTCCTTGTTCTGTCCTCATACTTTATTACGGCAAAGCGAGTGTGAGTGTAGGTGCAGGTGCAGGTGCAGGAGCAAAGCGAGTTCGGGATGAAACGGAGTGGCTTTACTGCCCTGTTTACCCCCTGTTTGATTCCCATTATCTGAAAATGGAAATGGGGGAATAGTATTTTTTTTAAAAATGAGTGGATGAAAAAAAAGGAAAATTTTTCAATTTACGTGTAATATTATTTTATGGAAGATTATGTAGTTAAAAATAGGAGAAAAAAAATGAAATGTAATGTAATTTAATTTAATAGGGATCAAACATGAGCTTAATATTTTGAATAAAACTACTTACTCAAACTTATTAGAGAAGAACAACACAAATTGATTTGGCAGCAAATGATTGGTATTTTTTATTTTTATTTTTCGAATTGTCCAATAGTGCATCGATATGTGTTTCACCTGTTTTTGAACATGTATGTGTAGCATGATTGTATTATTTTTTTTATTCAATGTTTTTAGTTTGTGAATTTTTTTTTTTCAAATTGTAGAAAAATTAATGTTTTTCATATAAATGATGACGATTCTTTTCTTTTGATATGATAAAAAACTTCTATTTTGAAATGAATTTTAAACGAGACGAGTAATGAGGGACATTTTTCTCCGCCCTTACCTCACCACTCCCTGCCCTGTGTACCGGATGGTGGGGAATTCTTGTCATGTTAAGGACACGACCCGCGAGCAGCAAGTATAATGGATTTTTCTGTCATCTCTACTTTCTTCAGGCACACTTTTTTCCCCCTAATATTTTATATATATCTCATTGCCCATCACTCTTTCCATTATTTCTTGCATTTAATTACTTTTAAAAAAATGAAAATTGTATGGGACAAAATATATACCTTCTAGCGAATGAACCTTGGCCCCCACTTAATCCTTTAAAGAGACATGTAGCCCTTTGTTGGTTTTACTCAAAATTAAAATTTTAGCGATAAAAGTTGAATAAACGTGTAATTGAAAAATTGATAAGAGTTGTGTATTTTATAAAATGTGGGATTGAAAATAAATTTTAAAAAATATGGGCCAAAAAGAAACGTAGGTTACAACTAGAGATGTTACTCTGGCCAAACTAAAGTCACTCGTAATATGGCATGGGACCAATTTCTTAATTTGACATGTCTAAGCATATGTTGGCAAGGAATTGCAACCCTTAAAATGTTTTATCTGCAAACAAAATGAAGTGCATTTCGAAGTTGCGAATTAAAAATTATGCATGAGGGTTGACATATAAATTTAGTAGATTTTGATAAAAATTAATAAAATATTTGTTTAAAAAAATTGATAAATGTTATTAGTTCGTGAAATTTGTGGATAAAAATGAATTTGATGAAGATTGAATTCTAGAAAGTGGAGCATTACTTTTTCAACTTCAAAAAATGAAATCATTGCACAAACAATTATAATCAACTAATCTATAAAAATTTCAATCAAATCACAATATTCAAATTAATTAACAATAAAAGTATGATGTGAACAATTCTAGATGCCCACTAAACTTCATTCGATAATGCCTTTCCTTATCCAGGAATATTAGAATTTTCTCATTCGAATTAGATAAAAAAAAAAAAAAAAAAAAAAATTATTCCCTCGTCTCTTTTTTCTTTACTCTCAAAAATTGAATAGAATCGTGTCTTGACAAATGTGCTTCAGGACAGTAAGAAAATTCCAAAAAGATAGTCCCTTTGTTTAATATATCTTCAAATCAATTAACTAATAATTGTTGTAGCTATCAGAGGATTGCAAATCCTTTAGTTGGGCAGCATATTGAAAAGAAAATAATAGTTTTTTCTTTGACACATAAGTGGGAATATTAGGTTGAGCTTGAAACTAACTTATTTTTATTTCTTTAATCAAACATGTTTTCTCATAATTATTTCTTTTATCAATAAAACTTACTTTTTAAAAAGTATTATATTTGTTTAAAAATAACTTTTAAACATGCTGACACGTAACATGATGTTTTCCTCAAAAGATTCCTTATGTACAGTGGAATTTGTATCGAATCAATTGACTTTAATTTTATTATTTTAAAAACAGGTTTCTTTTTTTAACGGTTGATCTCACTCCATTTATCAATAAAGTGGTCAAATGGCACGATATTATGCTCTTAAATGGTGAGGTTGAAAAATTCGTAATTTTTTCAAGTTTAAATTTGACACTTTAGTCAATCTACTCGACAAGTCAACTTAAATTCTTTTATGTTAATTGTACCTACGTTCGTTTTATGATAGGTGTTTTGGGAGTGGTCGATTCGGCACTTGTGTGCTTATGATTTTGTTTTTTCAATAAATTTTGTGGACAAATCAATCATAATATGCCTAATTTCAATCCAAAATTGGAGATAGTCAACCACTCATAACTCCAAAGCTCTAAGTTCCTTTTGGCCTCCATTAAATTAAATTTCATTTTTCTCTAATCTATTTTCAATTACACAATTTTTCATAGAATAATATTACATGTAAATCGAAATTTTTTCCTTATTTATCAACTACTCATTCTACAAAAAATACTATTCCTCCCATTTTAATTTGAAAAAATGGGGGCCAAATAGGGCCTAAATTACATCTATCTTTGACAAAGTTGCAACTCTTATTTTTGTGTTATTATGTTGCATTTTGACTCTCCCACAATCCTATTTTCACGATTTAGATTGCTCCCATTTCCCTTGCTCTACTACAGGAATCGCTTTTATATTCTTTTTACCCTGACTGCAAGTAGGGAGGATCCATAGCTAAGCCCCCTCCCATTCGAGGCCGGGTGGCCTCCCCACAAGCAGTAGTTCAAATATAGTAACAAGATCATTCCAACAAATTGTAGGTCGAAGAATAATATCAAGAAATAGAGTTGTTATTTAGTTGTCATATTAGATCATGTGAATGTAATGCTGGCCAAACCTTTTCTTAAACTAGTTATAAGATAATCACTCAAATTAATGTTCAATTAACTGCCAATAGTAAGCATGGATCTTGATATTTCTTACAGGGACAGTCAATCACATTTTATATGTTAATGTCTCCATAGCAAGAAACAACAAGAATCAAGCCCGTTAATTAGTCTACGTATCTCTCGATGTTGAACAGAGAGCGTGCGTAGCTGTATTTAAAAATTACATTTTAAAAAGTCTTATTTACCCTTTTAAAAATAAACAATAAGTTTATGTTCAGTTTGTAGAAAAAGTGGTTTTATTCAAATATTAAAATTCATCATAAATTTACTCATCAATACGTTGATGTATCATGCCAATAGCCGATATTTATTAGATCATCTTTCAGATGAAATAAGTAACTTAAAATGAAAATTTAATTTTTTTTAGTGGAGAAAAATGTCCAATGCTCATAAGCTGATATTGCTTTCAATTATTGACTTCATGATATGACAAGATGGAATCTCCTTGTGATCCATTAACATTTTGTAAAACAATAAATCTTCTTGGCCGTCCAACACAGTTCTTTGTAAATATAATTTCATCAAATCAGAATCACAATGATTGATGAGACGTTGAGACCCAAAAGAGCCCACTAAATGCTCATATTAGATACAAAATTGAAAATTATAAAGCAAAAAGCCAGCACAAAAAATAACTCTTCTTCTTCTTCATTTTTTCTAGGTTTTAATTATGTTGTAACATTAGACATCTTGACCTTGTCCATAAGTTGGCAAGGAAAATTCCGAACGCAATAATATAAAAATGAATAGTTAGTTGACATTCCATTATTTACTGTAGTAATTATTCACTTACTCCCACTTGCAAACACTGGTGCACTCCGACCGAGAAGTCCACATGCTCGACTAGACTAGCAACTTCTCAACCACATTGATGGTCAATGTCAACGAGCCGAGCCAGCCCGCTCGCTAATCGAAATTTAAGGCTCGAGCTCAACTCGAGTAAAAATGATTCGAGTTTTTTTTT